AACAAATTGAAGGAAAGATTAGTATAAAGATTACTAAAAGAAACCTAAATTCATCTTGAATAAAATCATAATAAATAAACAATTTCATTAAATTAAATACAGATATTTTCAGTATCTTTTATTATTATTTCACCTTTGTTATTTCCTGCTTTGCACAGATTGGAAGTGAAGGTTAGAGGGAAACCGAAGCCAGAAGGAAAATGGTACAAGCAGGGTCAAGAGATCATGCCGTCGGAAGAATTCCAAATCGAGGAATTCGAGGATGGCACGTCGATATTGACGATCGCCGAAACTTATCCCGACGATATGGGTGAGATTGTGTTCGAAGTACACAATCCGCTCGGCGTGTCGACAACGACGACATATCTGTCGGTAGAAGGTAATGATTCGTTCATCTCGAACGAAGAAATAATTATTAAAGGTGGCGGAAGCTTTGCTAATCTGCTTGGTACGAGTTGTTTTCAGCTGCGCTCTTCTTCGATCGGAATCATCAACGAGAATCTCCCACTGTACTCCTTGTATCTCCCTCATAAAATATTGTATCTCAAAACTCACACTGAACACTCACATCCCATCACTTTTATACACTTTCTTTTTTTAAATATTTTATTTAGCATTCCGCTAGCTACTCGGACCCTTTGAGTTCCATCCTGGCTCTCAAATTATTGCGTGAAATTGTAATAATAACGTGATATAAAATTTTTCGATCTTTAGGTACTGCGAAATTTTAGAATTACGAAGCCTTACAACTTGTGGCTAATTTGAAATTAATTTTACAAGTACAGGTAGTAAAATTCAAATTCCTAAATATTTAAATTTTCAAATTTTCACGATTTCCAAATTTCTAAATTCTTCAGCTTCTAGATGTATAAATTTTTAGATTTTTAAATATCTAAATCTTCAAACCTCCGAATTTCTGAATTTTCAAATTCTCAAATCACTAAATATTCAAATTTCCAAATTCTTTAATTTCCAAGTTACTAAATATCCGACACCTAAACTTTCGCATTGTCAAATTTCCAAATTCTCAAGTCTCTAAACTCGCAGTGGCAATAAAATTTTCGGATGTAGAGTTAAACTTTGAAATATCGAACGATTTCACTCGACGATTCGAAAGCTGTGAAACGGGAGAAAAAGAACGCTTTGATCCGAAGATAAAAATAAAAAGAAGACGATCTCCTCGCTTGGACGGTGGAACTGAAAGGGTCGAAGGTAATAAACGTGTCTCTAATTGACCTTTTAACTCGTTAGGAATCGTGGGGACGAAGGAATACAGGAAACCGTCGTGGGTGATTCACATGGAGGAGATGCAAGAAGCTCTGAAAGGTAAGAGTCGCCAGTCGCAGGCGATCGATTGCATGCTGAGTGAAGCGGAGTGCAGCTTCTCCACGGACAGCCTGGACGATCGCGCCATTAGGGACGAAAGTTCTCAAAGAGACAGCTCGACGATGATCAGCGAATTCTCGTCGACGAGAACTTTGATGAACATCGACGACGAAGGTAAGAGATGCTCCGAGGAGGAAGACTCCTCTCCGAAGGGCTTCTTCTTGTCCAGAAGATTCTCAGACTCCGTGGATATCGAACAAGGGATCACTAGCACGGAATATTCCTGCGAGATGAGCACGTCGAACAGAGAAACGATTCTCGATCAAAAGGGAACCACTTTCACAAAAAATACTGGAAATATCCCCGAATCGAAATATAACGAGAAATACGAGATGAAAACCGAACAAAAGACGAGATGCGAGAAGTCGAGTAAAGTGGTGGGAAAGAAGAAATTAGAGAGTTCAGAGGAGAGAAGCGTAACGACAAAATTGCTTTCGACGAGTAAACGAGATGGAAGTGGCACGAGTAAGTCTTCCAATGTGCAAACGGTGAAATTGTCGAGGTCATCGACGTTTGACAAGTCGACCTCGCCAATGAGGGGAACCACTGTGAAAGTTAGATCTTCGTCTCCGGTCCTGGCGACGAAATGCTCGAAGGTCAACGAATCTACCTCAATGGATGAGAAACAGAGGAAAGTAACATGTAAATCGAACTCTCCTTCGCCAACTAGATTGGACAAATCGAAACTGATGAAATCCAGCGACAAATTAGTTGCGACCAAACCGATGAAAAGTGTCAAATCGAAAGAAGAGGCGCGTGTACTTGACACGAGTGAAAGTAACGAAGCTGTAAGCAAAACAGTGGAGAATATCGATGAAGTAACGATAGAAAACGAGTCTAAGATGGAATTGTTAAAAACTCAAAGAAGAAAGAAGATCGTGTTGGACTTCGATGAGTTTCCACCTCCGACAACTGAACAGAAAAAAAGTTGTGCCCATTCTGATCATTTGAACGTCCCTGAAACCGGTGTTTACCTGTCGCCTATTGAAGAGAACAGCGAAGCTTCGACCGGAAGTGGACAGAATAAATTCGTCACTGGCCATTACGCAGGTGGAAAGACGATAGAAACTAGGATGGAGTACGATCACGCGAGGAAGTATCACACTTATCCGAAATCTAGAATTCCAGTAGCCAGATGGTCGAAGGAACGACGTTATGGGAACTTGATGATAGATCCGAAAATGTACCCTTTGGAGCCGAGAGAAATCGATTTGGACGCCTTTCAACAACTGCACACTGCAGACAGTCAAGAGGAGTTGCAGGAATTTTTATTATTGGAGAGTCAATGTAGCGGAAACCTTGGACTAGCTGGAAACATGTCGGCGTCCGAGGTTTCGTGCAATGAGCATCACAGCGAGGACGAAAGAGGCACCATGTCAGGTATTGCTGTCGATTGAATTATTAACAATGTTCAGAATGATTTACGTTTAATTGGAAGAAAATATATATTTCTTTTTTTTTTCAATGAGGGAATTAGAAGGTATGAAATTTCAAAAAGGATTACAGTGAATCAAAGTTGCGAAAGTAGATTAAATCAAAAGAAGATTAAATTAAATTTCGTAGATTATATTGAGAAGACTGTCGTCTTTTATAAAGAAGTATAACTCTATTTTACATAAAGAAGTATAACTTTCATTTTACATAAAGAAGTTTAAAACTTGGAAGTTAAAAGATATTTTAATAATTTTTTTCCTTTTACTTTGATCGAAATAAGGCTTGTCGAATTGCGTTATTTTATAAAGCAACAGCTAAACTTACGACTGAATTTCGTATTTTCATGAAAATAATTTAAAAAATGGATATGTGCAAAAATTGTTTTAGCTGTTGAATATCACAGGAAGTACTACGCTCTGAATATTTTTATATATGTTTCTTTCATTTGACGTGATGCACAAAATATCATGCAGTTTGCATAACAAAATTAATTGTTTTCTGTGCTTTTGATCAAATTGTTGTTTCGCATGGATTTCCTTTACGTGTGTTTCGTTCTTTTCTCGTTCGGCTAACCAGATTACTGACATTGGAGTCACGCGAGTCGCACAATCACCAATCAAAAGATCAGGTAAGCTGTTTATCGAAGATCTTCTGTTTATTGTTATTATTTTTTTTTTATTTCTTTCGGGCAATTATTGTGATTAACGCATTCTGATTTTAGCCACGCAATCTGTACCACGATTCATTCAAGAGATGACCGACGTTTATGCAAGGGAAGGTGAAACCGCGATTTTCGAATGCTCGTACTCTGGCAATCCTGCTCCAGGTATGTCAAATTTTTGCAATTTTAAATGTATGTTAATAGTAATTTCCATTACTATATGAATTGTACATATCGTGCTACAGTTAACTACTGGATGAATTATATCATTTACTTTTTAATTTCCAGATGTCGTGTGGTACAAGAATGACAAGATGATCGCCAATACCTCGAACGTGAAAATTCGCATCTTTGATGAGGAGAAAAAGACAGCGTTGATAATTAAACACGCAACCGAAGAAGACGACGCCGTTTATGTGTGCAAAGCTACCAGCGAGATAGGTTTGGCAACGACGAAAGCTAAACTACGCGTAACAGGTATCTTCAAAGTTCAACAATCACATTTAAATATAGAAAAACTGAATAAAAAAAAGATTAATCAAGTAATATCGTTAGAAAATTTAATGATAATTTGCAAGAAACATTAGAAACAAAAATAACGCTTAAGTTAAATTTCAATTTTTCTTTCAGACATAACGGGTGAGAGACAATTCTTCGACGAAGAAGAGGTTGTCGAAGAGCAGGTGATTGAAGTCAAACCTAAGGAAAAACCGCACAAAAAGAAGAAGCCTGAACTGAAGAAGGCTAAAGAAACGAAGGAGAAGGTGAAAGCTGAACGCGTGAAGATAGACAAAAAGGAAGTGCACAAAGAGAAGCTGGTTCCCAAGGAACAGCCGGAGGAAAAGTCAGTAAAATTAATAGTCAAATACGTGTATTAGTGACAAATGTCCCAATATTACAATGGATATTTTTCATTTAGGAAAATTGTCGACGTTGAAGAAACTCAGGTACTCGAAACGACAGAAATTATCGAAGAGCAATCAACAGAGGTAAATGTAAAAATTAAATACGTAATCTACCGTATTTACCGCGTAATATTAAAATTATTATGTTGTTATAAATAATATTAATAGTTGTCATGTTAATATTCTATATCAACGAAAAATTTATTTTTATAAATTCTCAAACTGTCTAACCAATCGATCGATTCCCTCTCTCGTTGCAATTTCCTCTTTCATTTAAAAGCCACGAATCACATTAAATCTAACAGGTATCGCAAGCAAAGAAGGTGGTGCCAGTTCAGGAGCCACTGATGACAGAAGCAATCGCGTCGCTGAAGAAAATCGACGATCAGAAGACCCGCGAGGTAGTACCGAGGCCTGAGGAACGTGCGAAACGGGTGGTGGAGGAGCGCGAAGGAGTGGTTGTCGTCTCGGAAGTAGCCACGGAAGACATAGCGCGAGATTTCACGGTGGAATCGGTGGTCGATCGCGCTCAAATCACGTCGGAGACTTTAGAGACCGTCTCTGTGACTGAGGTGCACACTGAGGCCAGCGTGCAGGAGATGAAACGAATTGACACGAAGCAGCGAAAGGCAAAGAAAACGGTGGTAACCGAGGAACAGATATTCGAAGAGAAGCCCAGAGAGGTGATCACCGAGGAGAAACCGAAAAAGAAGAAGAAAGACAGGGTGAAGGTGACCATCGAGGAGATCGTGGAAAGACAGCGAGAGAACATCGCGAGGGAGGTGGAGGAGATCATGGAGACGCTTCACGCGAAAGAATTCGGACCTGGAGAAGCACCTCTTCGCGAGTTGGCTACCATCGGCTTTCTAGTGCGCCAAGGAGTCTCCGTGAACGAGATAAACGAGAGCTTGTACAGAACGGACAACTTCCCTGCGCTGAAAACCCCCGAGGCTCAGAACGCGCTGGTTCAGCTGGTGGAAAGGGAAGGTCACGGCCCGTTGATCACGCAGGTTCTGACAGAGGAAACGACCACCGACGAAAGTGTAGTGGCTGCTACCGTTGGCTTCCGTGCTTTCATGAGAATGATCGAGCTGCAACACGTCACCGTGGAGGAGGTGCTCACGCACTTTGCCCCGGAGGACTTCCGGCCGCGTGCTTGGGAGGTTACAGAAGCTACGGAAGTAAGGATCCTTTTTTCTTTTTTTAATCCTGCTATGTTCTTTGAGTTGCTTTTATTATAATTGAGTTCTATCGATATAATATAAAATATAAAATATCTGGATAAGAAAAATAATTCTTCTTTCTAATATGTATTAGAAGCTTCTCTGTCTGTTGCAATGAATGTAATTTGATTGCAGAAATATTCAAAGAGATAAAAAAAAAGAAATCAGTTTCGATTAAATTCTTTTCTTTCAACTTTCGGTCATTATGTACATACGTATATCATAATATTAATACATTTTTGTAATATATGGCTGTGCAGAAATACTTTAAACGTTTGAACTGAAAGCACAATAAGAATAACTATTCACAGGTTGAAACGGAGGAACGGATTATGGAACGAGTGGATGTCATCCGTAAAACGGAGGTCCATTTCATGGGTAAGTCAGGAATGCGGTGTGAGGTTTGAAATACTTGGAAAAAGAAAGACAGAAAAATGTGCATAAACAACGAACGACACGATGTTGTTACAAAAATGATATCGCAGATCATCTAATATATTAAACGTCTTACGTTTTGGTGTGTGCTTGCGTGGCTGCCTATACATTTATAACAACTTGTACAGTTTCCTTAAGTTTTCAATTTTTGTATATAGTCCGCGACTTCACGATATACATATATATACGTGTATCAGCTCGTAATAAGCATGCGTTTTATTTCATCTTGTTTTTTGTTTTCTCTCTCTTTTTGTATATAATTTAACAACCGAAGAAAATCGAACGTTTTTCTTCGCCACTTTTTTTTTTTT